GATCGTTTGACCTATTTACACACTCTACATAATATTGAAACTGCAGCACACATAAATTCTTCTATGTCTTCACTAGTCGGTGCCTGGTATCGGTTCCAAACATTATCATCTGTCCACACTGTTGCGGGCTTTCAGTCATCACATAACTGGTCCTCAACTGTCGACTCTAAACTAACTACTAAGTCAGAGGCAATCAAATCTTATTGACGCCAAGCTTCTTACAGCTCACCACCAGAGTTTTTTTTCTCTTGCAGTTGAATATTTACTGCCATCATCCTTGTGTATTACCCTCTCTGATGAGAGGATCGGTTTGTCTCTTGTAAACATGCTGGGCCTTCTGTCAAGTGTACGTGTCGCAAATATAGCATGTTTTTGAAAAGCAGTCCATGACTATCTTACGTATCTTATGCTACAACGGCAGCTTAGCACTTGAAAGGTTGTATGTTTGAACGCCTCAAAGTTTAAGCCTCTTTATATTTTCTGTATCTATCTTCGCCTTGTCCTATGCTGCGAACATAGTCATTCTGATGATTTGGTATGATGTCTGCTTGTTGCTTGCACAATTTTGTTATATAACTGTATATGCGGAAGTTTGAAAGTCGTGTGCAACTCGCTTAACGATGTACACCTTGAAAAAGATTCCAATTGGGTGGACAAACTTATCTTGCAAGCGGTGCAATTTTAAGGTGTTGATGTCTGCCACAAATTCCCAGGCAGGACAAGCGTAAGTCATTACTGATCTAGTCAGTACTTATGGAGGGTAAGTTTAATGTTAACGTTCAAAAACTCACTTTTGAACAGGGAGTAGATTCTAATAAATGATCTGAAGGCCTTGGCTACAATCATTTTTATGTGCACGCTCCATGTAATCCTCTTATCGAAGATTACGCCGAGATATTTTACATGATTGACGAAGGGGATATTCCGTCCGTTCAATGTAAGATGAGCCTCAGGGGGCCTAAGCCTGTGAGAAACGTAGATGGCCTGAGTCTTATCTTCATTGATTTTTATGTTCCAGCTCTCGCACCGCGTCCCAAACGCACTGGGACCTCGCTTCAACTTGAACTACTAAGTTAAAGACAAAGTCACGTTGTGACCGCTGTTCAGTCGGACAGTCATCTTGGTGTCAGACTCCCTCTGATGACCAAGACCAGATTTTTGACCTGCTGATGTCCTCGTTATATAGCTTCGGAACTGACCGCATAGGAAACATAATTCCAGCAACCTTTTCTATTGTTGCACGCGTCTCCTTTGCCGCAGATTTGTTTATCGATTGTTTACCAAGTAATGGCTCTCTTCATCAATCATGTCACTATATATATATATATATATATATATATATATATATATATATACACACACACACACACACACACACATACACACATTGCGTGTGTAAAATATATATTTTTTTTTTCGTCTGTATTCTAANATATATACACACACACACACACACACACACATACATACATTGCGGTTGTAAATTAAATAATTCTTGTTCCGTCTGGATCCTAAAAGTTACAAAGTTCAACATTCAAAATAATCAGAGCAGATGCAACACCAGAGAAAATGAAAGAAAAATATTCGACTGGCGTAACAGCCCAAATAAAGAAATAGAAGAGCAGAAATGGCACATTATACCCACCATATAAAACACTAATATAACCTGGTGCATATTTCAGGTAAACCAAACACGTGGTGGACACGAAGGTAACATAGCCTGAATGAAACGTCTCGAAGCGTCTAGTATATAAGAAGGAAAGCAGAGCAGACTCCTTAAACACACCTTGCACACCTTATGATGGCCAGTTAGGCCGAAACATGTTACGAAATAAAGCAGGAGAAGTAACGCCGAACCCTAGCGGACCCTGATTGAGTTGCATAAGGACGGAGAAGAATCAGAACATTTTTCGAGGAAAACATTCACACTGCATTCTTCTACTTAGGTTACCGGTAGGTAGGCCGCATACCGGTATGCGTCAAGACATGTAACAGTCAAGAGACGATGTCTGCGACATGACGCAAAGAAAGGAGCATAGTTGAAACGAATGAGATTATGAAAACCACCGCACACAGGTCTGAGTCATGATGCTGACGTCAGCTTCATCCTTTTCTCTATGTTTTGATATTTGTCTTGACGCAGTCGGTGTGCGGCTTCCCTCAGTCGGGAAAAGGGTGCCATTATTTCGTCGGAACATACTACTTCCATTTTTGTCTAAACTTGCTTCTGCTCTGAATACTGGGACAGTATATTCTTGGAAAACTTTCATTCGCAACTATCAGATTTCACGGTGTCAGAATGTAACAAATAAATTGCCGTATGTGTGTGTATTGGGATGAAAAGGACTAAGGAATATTTCCTCTCTTCATTGCACACGGATCTACCAGTATAGTATAGTGGAAGCATTGTGGCTTCTAATGTGAGACATTAGCTAGCTAACTCGCTATCGTAGTATTTTAATCACTTCTTAGTCTCTCTGAACGATGCCGCACCAGCAATCTGAATTATGCTATGACATCCTCCTTCTATAGTCCTTAACTTACTAATAAATCACGAGTGTCTTCTTTGTCATTCGAAGCTACTGTTTGTAACCTTTGCAATTTGAAGAGATTTGCTAAATAATCTAAGAATCATTCGGTGATTGGGGCAGGTATTTTCTTTTATTTTTTTATTGCAAATGGGGTGAGACTAAGTCCTTTGTACTGCGGCCACTTTTGACCTATTGTACCAGCCCCAGATGATAGGTGAGAGTGATTGTGGAACAATTGGTGGAATGAAGATTGGCAGTGGAAACCGAAGTACTCGGAGAAAACCTGCCCCAGCGCCATTTTGTCCACGACAAATCCCACTTGACCAGACTCGGTATCGAACCCGGGCCGCCGCGGTGGGAAGCCAGCGACTAACCGTTTGAGCTATGGCGCGGCCGCATTCAGGCAGGTAAGTCGCTCCGAAGTAAACGTGGCGCGTTTACATATCCAAATACCACACGATCGCCGTGGTCATGCGGCAACTTCTCCGACACCGGAAGTGTGCGTGTAGTCTCATCGACTGCATCTAGGCGCAGAACACTACTTCGCAGCAAATATTGCAGGGCACCAAAATGATGAAATGGCACAAAGATTCGATGTACTTCTGAATTATGTACGTGTATATACATACGTATATGAAGATATAGTTACAGTTGTCACCGTTCTTAAAACATGGAGAATGTATGAGTGGAGAAGCAGCTCCAGACATTCTTAATCTCATAATATTATATGCCTGATGATGGCCCATTTTTGGCCGAAACATGTATCAATGACGTCAGATGTACACAGTTAATGACATTTAAAATATGTAACAAACATTTTTCAGTGAATTAAATATATTTTAGTGTCTTTTAAGAAGGATTAACTTTGTTGCGTTACAGACGGAATATGATACAAATAAATTTCTGAACCTCTATACTCGATGCTAGTGAGCAGTCAGCCTCACTCTCCGAGTTACCTCGAAAAATTTCAAAACGAGTGACCACTTGGTAGACCTCGTAGTAGGTGGAAGGAAGGACCGTAAAGAAATAGGTAGGGAGGAGATGACAGTTTCAGTTCGCTGATGATGGGGGTCTAGTGGAGGACTTTTTCAACTCTGGTTCCATAAGTGGCCATTTTTATCCCGCTGAATGAGTGTAAAATTGCCAAGATTACTCAACTGCATGGGATGAATGAGCTGCTTCTGTTCGGTTTCTAATTGCTTATGACCTTGAATGATGATTAGGTTTGATTGTAAAAGGAAGTGGTCGTCTTCTGCTACAAGGTACAGTCCCTGCTTTCGTGAGGATAAACTGAGGACAATTAAGATAAATCATAAGATGATCTATAACCCTTCCAACGCCAGGTTTGGCATCTACCCACTACGGACTTAAAACCTTGCTGCTGCACCGAACTGCTCTATCGTCATTTTTAGAGAACGTAATAATAATAATAATTCAATTCTTTATTATTTATGTGCCTAGTCAACAGCCTCAAGGCCAATTACAGACAGAGCACAGTGTACATACAAGTACATCGTAATTACATTAAGAACAATCACAACATAAAATCAAAGAATAATAATAATTATTATTATTATATTATTATTATATTATATATATAATATATATATTATATTATTATTAATATTATTATTAATATTATTATTATATTATTATATTATAATTGCCGCCATCCATGAGGCGCTTGTCTAGATAATGGGGACCCTCAACATCTCACAACCCTATGGGCCTCCACGGCCTGTTACAGGGATAGCTTTACTTACTTGTAATAATAATAATAATAATGTTACTAACTAATATTAATATGAGGTTTAAGATTCTCACGTCACTCACAGGGAAGAGTACTATTTTTCGGATGTGATACCATGTAGTCTGGTATAAGTTTAACGTAATTTTCTGCTTGCTAAACTTACTTCTCGAACCAGGATATGCAAACTAAATTCCTCCGAAACATTAGTAAACTTAGAATTACTGGGTTTTCGGACTTTATCCATCAACCGGTATTCCAGAAACTAGAAAACACGACATTTATGAAAATGGATCTATCTCCGTCCTCAGATGAGTGGGGAAAGACATCTACTGTGTTGGGTAGGTGTCTTCCCCCCTCACCTAAGGATATAAACATATCCAGTTTACGAAACTTTGTGTTTTCTAGTTTCTAGAATACCGGTTGATGGATAAAGTTCAAAAACGCAGTAATTCTGAGTACTATACACTATCGTAATGACCCTTTACGATCTATTAGGGTGTGCCAGACCAAACGGCGTCATATCCCAGAAGATAATACAGCAACTGATCCTTTGAATGTATGAGGGGTAGGGCTTCTCGGCCCCTGCACCGCGACATACAGTGGTCTATTGTGCTTAGCTGACTCTTTGCTAAGGACAGTGTAACGAGATATCTGCTCCTCACTGGTAGGTCGCTACCCATTGTATAGGAACCGTAATGTACATTGCTGTTTGTTACCAGGTGATCAGTTATGATTCGAGTCGAGGAGGCGTGAGCGTCATCACGGAGAAGGGAGATGTCACCACGAGCTACCTGCTCATACAGCACGCTGAGGTAACCGACTCCGGCAAGTACTCCTGCAGCCCATCCAACGCAGACGTCGCTAGCGTCAAGGTCCATGTTCTCAACGGTAAGCGACCATTATCCATCCTGGCACAACAGCAAAGCCCGTGTATAATATTCAAGGCAAGGCCCAGTACGCCTCACTTACTCACACGACGTACTGCAACTGGAGAGCCGGGATAGCTGGACGACCGAGGGGTAGGAGTTCGAGTCCCGGTAGGATCAAGAATTTTCTTTTCTCCACGTCACCCAGACCGGATCCGGTGTTCACCCAACCTCCTATCCAGTGGGTACCGGGGACTCCTTCCCCGGGGATAAAGCGGTCGGGGTGTCAAGCTGACCACTCACCTCCAACTAATGCCGAAGTCAAGAAAACGTGGTTCTATACATCCTCTCCCCTACACGTCTTCATGGCCTAGTGCTTAATTAGTCAAGCACAGGAAAAATTTTACTGCAGCTGGGCAATGTAAACGTAAAATGTACGACAGCACTTGTATTGCCTTGTAATTTGATGGTTTACTTAGGAGTGGCACGTCAGCTGCAAAACCAATGTTTCTTCTTGGTGTAATGAAATGCACTCCATAATGTGTTTCCCATTCCTGCTTCGTATTCGGAAAGTCCCAGGCTTAATTCAAGTTCAGGAACGAGCTACCATGGCTAAGAGTTTCCTGTCATTTTCATTAGTACCTCTAGGCAAATAATAGGACAGTAATGTAACAGGGTGCCGGTCACGGTAGCCGAGCGGTCTAAGACATGTACTGTCTTCGCTCGCTTGGAAGTCGGGATCGTTGGTTCGAATCCCACTCCGGGCATGAATATTTAGTTTGTGTGCGTGCGTTTTTCTGTGTTTGTGTACAGGTAGAGGCCTTGCGATGAGCCGATCACCCGCCCAAGGAGTCCTACCGAATGTGTAAGATCTAGAAAAACCGAAGTGAACGGAGAATTTCATGGAGGTAGGCCCACTGGGGCTGTAGTGCCAAGGAAGAAAATGTAACAGAGTTTACGATTCGTTCCTTGTGCATTGTTTCTAATTTTCATCCAGAAATCATACCATTCGAAGTAACACAACATAGGGACTTGTCACGTGTCCGGGTTCCATAACCAATTATAACGGGTTATGGACTGGATTCATTGACGCCTTTTATTACAATTACAGTCAGTTACAACAGCTCACAATCAACGACTGCCAAAGACTTGCTCCATTGTGACCGGACTGCGAGTCACTGTGACTGAGTTGGTTCTGATTTACGAATCGGTCACTTTCTCAACTTCCGCTGACGCATGTTGGCACTCCACAGCAGAACACTCAGCTCAACTCAACCGCACTATTGAACTGACTTCAGAATTCTCTTACGACTGACTGAATCAGAGCCTGAGTCTTATGTTACGACCGACGGTCAGTCGGCCAGTCTGTCTTGGAATAAAGCACCCATCTGGGGCTTGCGACCAGATTTTTGTTACTGTCAGACAGTTGCGGGTTTGTTGATATGGGGCGCTCGCCAGCGGAGTCATTCTCATGGGACTCGTAACCATATTTTACTGTCTCGGATTTGAGACTTCCTTTTTCGTCGCCTCCTACGACTCGCAGGGTCACGGTGGAGGTATTCGACTCCGCCTCCACACGGGAGATGAATGAATGAATCAAGTTAAAGTTACTTTACGACTGGCGGTTTACTGCCAGTCCATCATTGCGTCAGGCCCCTTGAGGCCCACGACCAGAGATATTTTCCCAACTGAACTCTTGCGGTAATAGTCCTTATGTAACATCCTCCCTGACGTGAAGCTGGGTTTGTGCCTTATGAATATGCTTGGCCTTTCGTCAAGTGTATATTTCGCACATATAACGCGTTATTGAAAACTCTTCCTTTCTTCTGGATGACTCAATTACATGTTCCTCCCCCTTCTTAACTTCGGGACGAACCGAAACAGAGATCACCACCCCCATAGATTTCCTCTATTATTCTGTATTTATCCGTTTCTGCGGAAACGTGTGTTTGTTTCGTAGCAACGGTCTGGTTTTCACGAGTTCACAGCTCTCACTTGTCGTATCTATGGAAACCGCGTTCCGTACGCAGTTGGTTTCCCAGACTCAATCTCTCCGCGGCAACGTATTTGCCAATTCATTTCATAGAAATGGCCCACATGTCACATGATCAGTAATCTTTAAATAACCATAAAACAATTTCACCTGTTATTCTCAAATCTAAATTTCTAAGTGGACTTCCAATTTCTCTCCTTGTGTTCTGATGCTTAGCAGAGCGCGTCGTCCTTGCTTTGATCACCAATTATCACAAATTTGAAGTTCCTTGTTGTGTAATCTTTCCATTTTCCAACTGCAATCTCTGTTGGGTAAAGTAAAGTTGTCCTGTGCTTAACTAATTAAGCACTACGCCACGTAGGCGTATGGGGGATTGGATGTATAGATCCACATTTTCCTGACCTAGGTACTAGTTGGAGGTGAGTGGTCAGCTTCACGCTTTAGCCGATTTACCCCCGGAAAATGAAGTCCCGATACCGATTTGATAGGAGGTTAGGAGGGCTCCAGAACCAGTCTGGACGATGTAGAGATGAAAAAATCCTTGACTCTACCGGGAGTCGAACTCCGAACCTTTAGTCCTCAGCGCCCTGTTTCAACCTAGTAAGTAAAACGTTCGTGCTGGCAGGAGTACGAATACACCAGGTTTTATAATAGTAAGACGAGCGAGGTATGATTCTGTATTCACTGGAAGTTTAAAAACTAAAAATGCTATGGGGCGGGGGGGGGCTGCTAAAAGTCTTCTTTCTATGCAGAGACATGGAAAGTGCTAAGAACATTATTTTTGTTTATAGTAATTATTATTATTTTAAGGTAATTCAAACTCAAGCAAATTGTTGTAGGCTCTAACAATTATTCTATGAATAATTTTAAATGTAGCCGTAGGTTTCACCCAATTAACTTAAACTAGTTCTAGTTTAAAGTAAGAAAAATTTGTCGGTGTCATGTGTATAAAATAGAAGCTATGGGGTCCGACAAGTGGAACCATCTGTATATGCATTATTTTCCTGCAACCCAGTAAACTTTCTGCTGATATAAATTCAGAGTCTGTAAACAATCATAAAGACCATTTGATTTTTAGTTTATTTAAAAACGGACAGTAACTTGTGAAATACTATAAAAATACATTAGATTTAACCGACCTTATTGCTGTATTGTAACTTTTTAACCTGGGGACTAGTGTACAACATGTTTGGAACATTTCTCACCACTTTCTCCGGTTTAGAATCTCTTAAAACTTGTGGTAATGGCTCGACTGAGGCTCTCTCACTGGCCGTTTACAGGCTCGGAATTGCCACAAAGCGTGCATTACTAACAGCAAGGGTTTCCCAGGGTGCCGCCGTAGAGGCTTATTTTAACTCAAGGACTTAAAATGATTATAGTTTGGGGAAGAGAACTCGCCATTTTAAGGAAACCTCACACTCAGCTGTTCCTTCATGAAACGTCCGTACAGTGTAGCATTCTCTAGCTTAACAGTCGTTGCTGTTTAGAGTTCACGTCTCCAGGGATAAGCACTGCTTCAGATGTCGTATTAGTAGCCATCTCAAGTGCATGTTCTCCTCTCAACTGACCTTTCACCGATAAAAAGTAAGCACCTCTCATAAGAGGGCACTTGACGGGCTCGAACTACATTCTAAACATTTCGCGAAATATCTAGAAACTTACGAATGTACCACTCAAGAGATGGGAAAAAAATGTATATGTAAGATACATTTGCATGTAGAAAATTTGAAGCTGTTTGAGGCAACATTAATTTTTTTTTTGTTGCTTACATACTTATGGAGCTGAGTCCTTCTTGAAGAGAAGACAAATCTGCAGCTGCTCAAGATTTTCTCAGCATATTACGGAACCCGAAGGTTCATTACCGTGTTCACAAGAGCCCTCCACTGGTCCCTATCATGAACCAGATCAATCCAATCCATACCATCCCATCCTATCTCTCTAAGATCCGTTGGCTTCCCCACCAATATCCTATATGCATTCCTCTTCTCCGCCATTCGTGCTACATGTCCTGCCCATCTCATCCTCCTTGACTTGATCATTCTAATTATACTTGGAGAAGAGTACAAGTTATGAAGCTCCTCATTATGCAGTTTTCTCCAGCCTCCTGTCACTTCATCCCTCTTCGGTCCAAATATTCTCCTCAACACCCTGTTCTCAATCACCCTTAGTTAGTTAGTTATTGGAGAGGGTGGGTTTCCCCATGCACTTAGACCTGTATTGGTCCATTGTGCTTCCCTCTATGATTTCTACCAGTCTCTATATCCTACCGGTACTGGTGCTTACCATCAGTCCCGCCCAGCCAGCGAGACCGGCTCTACTAGCTGAGAGGTATCTATAATGCTTCCCCCATCTACCAGAGGTATTAGAGACTGCTGTTGGGCGGGAAACGTCCGTAATTTGGCTCAGTGACCTCCTTTGGAGATATGAGGTTCTTTTACGTGCCGTAAAGCTACGACACGGGACCCACGGCTTAAAGTCCCTCCCGGAGGACTTGTTCCCTGAATTTTTCCGCCCTTAAAAATTCGACGACCTCCGCCGGGTATTTGAACCCGCGTACTACGAGTCATGAGGTTGGAACGTTACCTCTAGACTACGGAGGCCGCTTCAATCACCCTTAGTCTATGTTCATCTATTTCTTATACTCTTGTAAATTTATTCGTAAAATTTGTATAGCGACACTCATTTGAAACAAAAATGGACGGACATTGCGACTACGTAATGTTGTGTGCAAACGAAGCTTGTGTTGGAAAGCGAAGCATGAGTTATGAGGAAGGATGACACGCAGCACGAGACTTTCTACATCGCTGCTGGGAGTAAATTTAAGAGACAGATTACAAAGTGAAGAAATAAGAAGCACACTAGAGACTAAAAACATATTTGACGATATGAAAAATGATGCGATATATTACAGACAGAATGCAAAAAGGATCCAAGGAAGCATGACGTTTAAAAATGCACTCGTGGGATGACCTAAGAGTACAGTGCTTCAATTTATGGACGTCGAGACGGGATTCAAGCCACCCATTACT